AGCATATTAAAAAGCAGAGACATTACTTTGCCAACAAAGGTCTGTCTAGTCAAAGCTATGGTTTTTCCAGTGGTCATGTATGGATGTGAGTTGGACCACAAAGAAAGCTGAGTGCTGAAGAATTGATGCTTTTGAACTGTGATGTAGAAGACTTTTGAAAGTCCCTTGGACAGCAAGAAGATTCAACCAGTTCATCCTAAAGATCAGTCCTGAATATTCATTGGAAGGACTGATGTTGAAGTTGAAACTCCAATAGTGTGGCTACCTGATGCGAAGAACTGACTCATTTGAAAAGACCCTGATAAGATTGAAGGTGGGAGGAGAAGGAGATGACAGAGGATGAGATGGTTCGATGGCATCACCGACTCAGTGGACATGAGTTTGAGTAAACTCCGGGAGTTGGTGATGGACAGGGAGGCCTGGCGTGCTGCAGTCCATAAGGCTGCAAAAAGTCAGACATGACTTGAGTGACTGAACTGAAGACAAAATAGGGTTTAGAAAACCTAATTACTTTTCTCCCTTGGTAATATCTAGAGGTCCTTAACTAAAATGTTAGCTATTGTAGCATGGTAGTTTGTTGGGGATTACGTAATTTGTGTATGTGTGGAGTGCTCAGTCTCATCTGACTCTTTGCAACCACATGGGCCACCACTAATAATCTTGGGGAGCTTTGTGTTCAGTGGATCGTGATTTGAAGTTTTATTGTAAACTTTTATGGACGTTCTGGTTTTGAGGAAGAATAAAATCATCATGATACCAAGATTCTTTGTAATAAACATTTGTATTATGCTTTTTTGGACTAGTTATTTAGAGGAATGTTTTTCACCTTTAAGTATGTTATTCGCTTAGTTGTGTCCAACTCTTTGCTACTCATGGACTATTGCCACCAGGCTCCTTTGTCCATAGAATTCTCCAGACAAGAATACTAGAATGTGTTGCCATTCCCCTCTCCAGGGCGTCTTCCCAACCCAGGGATCAAACTAAGTCTCCTGCATTACAGGCAGAGTCTTTACCATCTGAGTCATTTGCTAATAATTTTCAACACCAAGAAGGACCCAGATCTTAAGTCTACATTTCTCTTACCTAGTATGTAAACTCTTGAAGAGGAATACCATTGCAGCCCTGTGCTCAGAAAAGTGTGGGAAAATGGAGCAAAAGCTCTGTTCTATCTTTTTCTTGCCTTTTACAATCAGAATTTTAGTTTGCACTCTTCTAGAGGGATGAACAATATATCCCTCTTATCTACAATATGTTTGTGATTTGCTAAACCATTTTTGTTTGTTTTACAACTTTTTTTTGAAACTTTTCAATTGTTATGAAACAAATTAATGGAGTTAAGCAGGGGCAAAGGTATAGGAGCAGTAGGCAATCATTTCTAGATACCAATATAGAATATATATATATATATTCTATATATATGTTCTATATATATATTCTATATATATATAGATAGATAGATACTCCATGTAGAATGCCTGTCATTTTCATTAGATCATGTTCCATGAAAGCAGGGGGCTGTGAGCATATCAAGCCCTGCTGTTTCCCCAGCATACTGTACATGGTAGAATTCAAATGTTTCTTCCATGAATAAAGAATTCCTTCACATCGTGAGAAACCCATCTGCTGCCCTAAAATAACTGATATACTTAGGTAATTTATCTTGGATGTAATTTTCAAGGAAAGTAGGATATGATATAGTTGACAAATAATGAACAAGAATTTATGTTGGTTGTTGTCCTCGCTCGTTGGTAAACAGTATGACAATAGGGAGGTCACTTGAGCTCTCTGAATCTCGGTGAATGAATTTATGAAATTAAGGGACTGGACTAGATGAAACCAGCTAGAAGATTCTAAGTCATTTAAGTTTCAAATTGCTCCTTAATTCTGAAATCGCTTAGTGAGATTACATCAAGACCACAAAACTTTCAATTTGTAAATAATAGACAATGAATATTAGAAAATTTAAAATTTTTAATAAATGTGCTTTGTTCACAAAATGTGAAAAAATACAACAAACACAAACATACATTTTCAGGTAAGCCACCTCCCACCACTTGGCAACTACCATATAAACCACTTGATCTAGTCATAATCCTGAAGAAACCAAGCAAATGATCATTTGTTTTTGAAACATCAAATTGTTTTGGAGAATACTGTTGTGAATGTGACAGGAGGCCCCTTAACTTTATATCCAAATGAAATCATTTTCAAGAGTACCCATACAGTATTAGAAGGCTCTATGGACTTCTCTTGTCATTATATAGAGAATCTGGCTCCAAGCCACAGGAATGCTTACATTTTAACATTTATATGTTAAATTGGCTTTGGTGGATATTAATACATATTAGTTTAAATCCTGCGCCAACCTAATTTTGAAGATGAATTTACAGTAACAAATGAGATTTATATATCCAAACAAACTTATACTAAATCAGAGTATAGGTTTTTATAAAGAGAGATTTCTTTAAAGTACTATTTAAAATACACCATGCACACTTTGGAGCATAAGCAGAATCAACATCTGTAAACAATCAGAAGATTTTATAGCACCAACATTTAGCTGTAACACAAAGGCTAAATCCAAGGTCAAATACTTATACCAGCCTCTCAAAAGTATGGTTTTCATTTACTTTCGAAGCACTTTTGTTTCGTATGTTATTTTCTTTGCCCTTCAGATGGCACTTAGCCCAATCACAGAAAATGACTGTATGGAAAAGGGGGTACTACCAACACACATTTCTATGTTACCCTGAACACAGTACTTTTTTTTCCCCTCCTTCTTTCAGGTGAACTACAAGATTTGACCTGTAGTGCTTAACTGGAAAGAAAGTCCTAATTTTTCTTTATAATTAAGTAATCTTATGTTATTGAAAGTAAATGCAAAACTTCAAGTTACTTCTGGCACATTTGAGCAACCAATATTTATTGCATTTACTCAACTGACTTTTAGGTTAATTACAATCTTGTTACTTTCATTAATTTAGAATTTGAAATTTACTTGAAATATTGGGTACACACACTTAGCCATTTATATCTTACAGGGTAAATTTTGTATTTCTAAATAAAGTTTGACATTCAAAGTTAACTACAGCAATTCACAATAAGCACAAAAACACTTTTACCAGAGTAAAGAAGTGCAGTTTATGAATTTAGGATCAACTATTGAAAATGCAAGTTTCCTTTAAAAACACACACACACAACATTAACCATGAAATCTGAAACTGTGATATTTCAGTGCAAAAACCTCAGTATGAGGTAATTTTAATGTAATAACCACTTGAAAAAAAATCCACACAGTGGCACTCTAAAAAATGACAGTTTACATGACAATTGCTGGCTGACAAGACAACGTGGACTAAATGTTCTTAGCCATTTAAACATTTAAACTGATCTTGTCTTGTTGGACATATATTTCTCCTTAATCATTTGCTTCTGATTCAGAAACACAGAAAGGCATTTATCAATGTGGAAAGGGAAAATTCCCACAGCCAACTAATGTTTATATATTCAAAGACAAATTTCTGCTAGGGCTTTAGATAGAAACTAGAATACCGAAAGGTCAAAACCATTTTATGAGATTACCAGCAGAGGGTTAATTTAAAAATTTTCTATATAGTTTCCAGACTTGTAGTGCAGCACCTCCTTAACAGAAAGGTGAGGACCCTATTAAGGTTGGTCTAGGTAGAACGTAAGCTCTCTTACAAGTGCAAACCCTTTCACAAAGGTGTGTTAGGTCAGTATTGAGTATTATATTGTTCCTTGCTTAAATAGAAAATTTTGTAATGAAACCTAAATTTAAAAAAGTAAAAGTGAATTCTCACAGTTAAATGTACTCACCACCAATGCCCAAATCAACAAGAAGGATATGGAAACTCTATTTTGGCAATGGTGTTTACTGTACTGTGCTAATCAAATTAGAATACATACGTTGGGGGAAACAGATCCCCAATGTCTGATGTTGCCAAATGAGCAAGAAAGAAAAAGAGTCATCATCAATTCCAAAAGGTCTAGGGAATGCTGAATCATCAGACAAAACTGAGCCAAAATGGCTTTCTATAACAGGTAACAATTTAGTTAGAAAAAAGGAATAAGATAAGTGCATCACAAAACTACTAAACCAATCTATCTCTCTGTCACATTTAACTTGTGAGTCATCAAAGTGCAATCTACAGCTTTCTACATACATATTTTAGTTTCTCATCGCAATGGTTTAAAGTCAACACTGAGAAGATGAAAACAAAAATACATAGCAAATTATGCTTCATTTTTCACAATAGCACTAAAGAGAAAAAGGTACCTTTCTATAATATCTTAGTGCTAAATGCTAAGTAACAGTGGTTTCTGCTAGGACAGGAGTCACTCTGCATGAAACATTAAGCTTTCTCTATAAGAATAAATTTTAAAATCCAGAAGTAGAAAAAAATAGCAAACTCTGTAAACCTTTGCATTTCTTCTATGTGAACCAGGTTTTAAGTACTGAGTTCATGTTAGTATTTCTGATTAGTGTAAGCAATTAAGTTTAGGAGTCTGGATTGAAAGGGTCTTTTGCTTTTATATTAACTTAAAAGTAATATGGGGTCTTCTAGCTCATAGAAAGGAATAGAGCTGGCTTGACTTTCTCCAGAATCTGAGTCATATGGAGCATCAGGGAGCTCTGTGAAACCATATGCTAGTTGTTCATCTTCTATATCTGATCGAACGTAGCAGGAAGGGTTAGAATATTCCTCATCTTCTATACTGTTGAAATCTTGAGGAATATATAACATCCCTGGGTAGTTCCTACTAACCAAGTCACTTGTGGTTTTTAGAGAGGTTTTTCTAAATGCCATCAGATGCATATGTGAAAATTTTGAATACTTGAAACGTTTAAAGCCCAGGGACTCTATAGCAATCTTCCAGCTTTTCATCATCATAGCATGACGGTTCTGATGGGAAGAATCAGGTGTGATGATAAGCAATAAACCATTTAACACTAACAGTTCATGGGCTTTCTTGCAGCAAATCCATCGCTGGTAAGGTGATGGAAAATAAGAAAGAAGAAGAGAGAAAACAACCACATGGAAAAGTTCTCCGGGAAGAGAATCAATAGGGTTTTTCAGTTGCTTCAAAAAGGCATCTATAGCATCTTGTGCAAGCTGGAGTGGTTGCTGAAGCTGCAAGTTCAAGAAGTCACATTTATATACACTCTGCAAAAAGGAAAAAACAAGGCATACTGAGAATTTTAAGATTACTTCCATCGAACTACACAAATTTTAAACCAAACTATTTCACAGCATTTCTATATAATTCAAGTTTTAAGTTTGTACTTTCACTTCTAAATTATTCCACTTACAGAGACTTATTCAACCAAAACTTTTACTCAGAAAAATCTCAGAGTAATTAAGCCTAGAGAATTTCTAGTCATCATTTTTTAAAAATGTATTTCTGAGAAACAATTAAAAATACTTTAAAAATACATATTTTTTAAAATATTAAGGCTTTGTTTGAAATTTAACTTGGATAAGAACTTACAGGGATGATTTATTTCTACACTTAGTCATACTTATGTTCACTTAAACATTTATAGTTACCTAAAACAGGCTAGTATAAAAATAACTTTAAACAAGAAATACTATGAAATGAAGATGAACCAAAGAAGTCAGAGGACAATACAAGTGGATTTTTAAATTGGTAAAAAAGCAAAATACCAGATCTTTTTAAAGTCATGTAAAGCATCTTTTCAATCCTTAACTTTAACTATCTCAAAAGTAGTTTTAATAATATATCTATTGAAATAAACTACATATTAAATTTAACTTGACGGTGAGTGACCATGAGGTACACTACAAGTAAAGAAACAGCACTGCATCATTTGTTGAATATTAAAATTGTATGAAAATAATCCAGAATAAGAAAGCAGTTTTAAAATTAGATAAAGGTAGCTATCCTTATATAAAACAATAGTTAATTGATTATCAAAGATATGAACTAATACCTTAGTCCCTCATTAGTGTGTAGACAAGCTGGTCACATAAGCATCTGGACTATCTATCAAGAAAAGCAATACATAAAGTTCTATTATATGGAAAAATATTGTTTTTCTTTTTTTGTTCCTTTTGGAGGGGAGACAGAGATAACTTTATTGAAGTATAACTGACATACAACCTAAAGTAATAACCGACACACATTTAAAGTGTACGTTTTTAATAAGTTGTAATGTTTATACACTTTTGAAACCACTTCTGTAATCAAATTAAGAACAGATCCAACACTCCCTAAAGTTTTCTTGTGCCCCTTACATAGCCCTTCCTTTTATCCTCCCTTCTTCCCTGTCACTAGGCAATCACTGATGTGACTTCTATGACTACAGATGAAGTGTGGATTTTCTAGAATTTAACATAAATGGAATAGTACAGAATAATGTATTCTTATTTTGCCTGGCTTCCTTCATACAGCACAATTATTTTGAGATTCATTCTTTTTTTTTGCATGTATTGATAGTTCATTCCTTTTTAGTAGCTAAGGTATGATACTATGTAAAAGATATACCACCGTTTGTTTTTCCATATACCTTTCATAGATAACTTGGTTGTTTCTAATTTTTGGCAGTAACAACTACAGCTGCTATGAGCATTCCTGTCTTTGAACAGACATGTTTTGTCTTTGAATGGACATGTTTCAATTGTCCTGGCAAGTATCAAGGAAAGTGGTGGCTGCATCATATAGCATGTGCATGTTTAACTTTTAAAGAAACTACAAAACTATTTTCAAAAGTGCTTACACTGAAGTTTACAATTCTACCAGGAGTTTATGGGAGTTCCAGTTTCTCCACCTCCTTCTCAACACTTGGAATGGCCAGCCTTTTAAATTTTAATCATAGTCATAGGTGTGTATTAGTATACTGAGGTTTGAATTTGGCTTTTCCTAGTAAGTAGTGATGTTTACCTGGGTATCTTCTTAGGTGAAGTATCTGTTCAACTTTTTACATGCTGAAAAATAACTGGGTTGTTAAAAACCTATTTTCTTATTGAATTTTGAGAGTTCTTTATTATAGATCCAAGTTCTTAATCAGATATATTGCTTGAAAATATTTCTCTCAGATTATGTCTTTTCATTCTCTTAACAATGTCTTTTTTTCTTTATTGTAGTATTATTGATTTATAATATTTTATTATTAATAGTTTCAGGTGTTTAGCATAGTGATTCAGTATTTTTATAATTATATCCCATTCAAAGTTATTACAAAATAACAGTTGTATTCCAGAATGTTGTGCACTAGTCTTGTTGCGTATCAGTTTTATGTACAGTAGTTTATATGTCCTCATCACATACTCCTGTATTGCCCTTGTTCCCGTCCCTCTTCCTCACTGGTAACCACAGTTTGTTTTCTATATCTGTGAGTTTATTTCTGTTTTACTATATACATTCACTTATCTTTTAGATTCTATATATGTGATAACATATAATATTTGTCTTTCTCTGTCTCACTGCTTCATGTAATCTGATAATCTCTAGGTCCATCCATGTTGCAGCAAATGGCGTTATTTCATTCTTTGTTATGGCTAAGAAATATTCCCATTGTGCATATATACCACATCTGCTTTATCCATTCATCTTGTTGATGGATGCTTAGGTTGCTTCCATATAAAGATATGGAAGTTGTAATAATACTGTTATGAACATTGGGGTGCATGTATGTTCTCTAATTAGAGTTTTCTCCAAATTCATGCCCAAGAGTGGGACTGCAGGATCATATGGTAACTCTAGTCTTAAGTTTTTTAAGGAACCTCCAACAGAGTAGGTGGGTTCCCTTTTTTCACACCCTCTCCCTCATTTATTTCTTGTAGACTTTTTAATAATGGCCATTCTGACTGGTGGGAGGAGATAGCTCATTATAGTTTTGATTTGCATTTCTCTAATAATTAGTGATACTGAACATCTTGTCATGTGCCTGTTGGCCATCAGTATGTCTTCTTTGAAACAATGTCTATTTAGGTCTTCTGCTTATTTTCTGATTGGGTTTTTTAAAAAATATATAAAGTTGCATGAACTGTTTATGTATTTTGGAAATTAAGCCCTTATCAGTAGAACTGTTTCCAAACATTTTCTCCCAGTCAGTAGGTTCTCTTTTGTTTCATTTATGGTTTCCTTTGCTGTGCAGAAGCTTTTAAGCTTAATTAGGCCCCATTTGTTTACTTTTGTTTCTATTTCCATTATTCTAGGAGATGGATTAAAAAAAATATTGTGATTTATGTCAGAGAGTGTTCTACCTATGTTTTTCTCCAGGAGTTTTATAATATCTGGTCTTATATTTAGGTCTTTAATCCATTTTGAGTAGATTTTGTGTAGATACTAGAGACTGAGCATTGTTTTGAACATTAAACCAGTCTTACACTCCTGGAATGTCAAACTTTGCCATAATGTATTATCCTTTTTGAAATATTGTTGGGTTCAATATGCTAAAATTTTGTGGAGAACTTTTGTGTTTATGTTCATGATGGATATGACCTATAGGTTTTTGTTGTTCTGTAATGTCTCTGGTTTTGGTATTGGGGTAATGGCCTCATAGAATACGTTGGGAAGTGAAGTCATTTGAGCCTGGAATCTTCTTTATGGGGAAGTTTTAACTGCCAATTAAAATTTATTTAATACATTGTGAGCTATTAAGGTTATCTATTTCTTCATGAGTGAGCTCTGGTAGTGTGTGTCTTCCAATGAATTTATCCATTTAATTTGTGGAATTTATTGGCATAAATTTTTTTTGCAACATTTATTATCCTTTCTTTTAATATTAGTAAAATATGTAAGATGTCACATGTTTCTCTTTATTTCCTAACTGGTATGCTTAGTGATTTAATCAACTTTATTGTTCTTCTCAAGCAGCATTTGCTTTCAATTTTTTCCCTACTATATTTCTAAAAGTTTTTTAATTCATTGATTTCTGCTATAATCTTATTATTTTCTTTCTTGTATTTTGGATTTAGTATGGGCTTTTTGTTTTTTTCTAGTTGAAAATTGATGTCATTGCTTTGAGATGTTTCTCATTTTATAATAAAGGTGTTTAGTATTATATAATTTCCTTTAAGTACAGTACTACTTTATTTTTAAATTTATTTTTTGGTTGTGCCACATGGCATGTGGGGTCAGTTCTCTGACCAGGGATTGAACCCATGCACCCTGCATTGGAATCATGGAACTTCTGGACTGCCAGGGGAGTCTCTCTAAGTACACTTTAGTGATTTTAGAGGCATCCTATGCATACCTATGTTTTTGATAGCTTATGTTTTTATTTATCTTCATTCCAAAATATCTAATTTTCTTGGTGAGTTCTTCTTTCACTGATGTTCTAATTATTCCATCAGTTATTGACAGAAAGTTGATTAAATCTTCAACTATAATTTTATAAATGTCTGTAATTGCTACTTTATCAGTTTTTGGCTTATGTATTTTGAAGCTTTTACTAGATGCATAAATGTTGAAGACTGTTTTGTACTCTTGATGAACTGATCTTTTTATCATGAAGAAATAAGCATCTTTATTGCTAGTAATATATTTTACTCTAACATCTACTTTGTCTGATTTTAATAGGGCCATTCTAAGCCTTTTGACCATCCTAATAGTGTGTATATAATTGAAGTGCATTTCCTATAGGCAATATGTACTTGAGGTACATATTTTTATGTCCTGTTTTTTTATCCAGTCTGATGATTTCTACCTTTTAATTGGGTATTTAAGCCATGTCTATTTAATGTGATTATTGGTAAACTTAAGTTTAAAGGTATAATCTTGCTACTTATTTTCTGTTTCCCATCTGTTCATTGTTTCCTTTCTTCTCTATATGCCATCTTTTGGATTAAAGAAATTTAATCCAATTTGATCCTATTTTATCTCCTTTGCTAACTTATTAGTTTTAACTCTTTATTTTACTAGTTGCTTTAGAATTTATAGTCTATATCTTTTACCTATCATAATACCTTACCACTTAATATGTAGTATAAAAACCTATTACTATACATATAGTATATTTCCCTCTTTCCCCTCTTGTGCTATTGTTATCATACATTTTTATATAAACTCCATTTTACAGTTGACTCTTGCACAAACACCACGAGTTTTCACTGCACAGGTCCAATCATACATGGATTTATTTTTAAGAAATATACAGTCAGTTCTCTATATCTGTGGACACAGAACCCAGGGATATGAAGACCTAACTCTACAGGCCTGAGCATCCATATTTTGAAATCTGCGGTGGTGGTAGGGTGTCCCAGAACCATTCCCCTGGGATGCTCAAGGCCAGCTCTACTATTAGCTTTTATCATATTTGGAAGAATTCTGACCATTATTTTATTTCTTTTATTCTCTTCTCCCCCTTTTTGAGGGAACTCTAATTGTGCTTATATTTGGCCACTTGAAATTGACTCACTCTTTGCTGATGCTCTTCCATTTAAAAAAAAAGTCTGTTTAATTTTGGGTAGTTTCAATTGTTATGTCCTCAGTTTAACTTCTGTAATATCTAGTGTACTATTAATCCCATTTAGTACACGTTTCATATCATACACCATAGTATCAATCTTCAGAAGTTATATTTGGCTATTTTTAATTATCTCTCATGGCTCTACTTTTTATGCAGATAGAATATAGTTATAACAGTCCCACCTTAATGTCCTTGTTTCCTAATTTTAAAGTCTGTGTTGGTTCACAGTTGCTTCTGTTAGAAGACTGATCTCATTGCGGGTCCTATTTTCTTGCTTCTTTACTTGGCTGATTACTTTTTTACTGGATATCAGGTATGGTGAATTTTACTTTGCTGTGTACTGGATTACTCTATTCTGCTATAAATATTCTAACTTTGTTCTGGGATGTATTAGTAGTTAAATTATCTGGAGACAGTTTGATTTTTTTGGTTCTTGTTTCAAGATTTGTTTCGTGGGACTAGAGCAGCCTTCAGTAGAAGGTTATTCTTCACTACCAAGGCAATTATTAATTATTCTCCACTACTGGGCTTCCCTTGTAGCTCAGGTGGTAAAGAATCTGCCTGCAATGCAAGAGACCTGGGTTCGATTCCTGAGTCAGGAAGACCCCCTGGAGAAGGAAATGGCAACCCACTCCAGTATTCTTGCCTGGAGAATCCCATGGACAGAGGAGCTTGGCAGGCTACAGTCCATGGGGTCTCAAGAGTCGGACACAACTTAGCGACTAAAGCACCACCACCACTGAGGTAAGGTGGTTTTGTGTATTCTACCCAATGCACTGTGATTCCTGAGGTTTTTAGCGTGGCTGGTGGGAACAGGTACTACTTTCCAGCCTGTGTGAGTGCACCCGACAACATAACTTAGACCTCTGAAGTAGTACTCCCCCAGGTTCTTACAGTTTTCTCACAGAAATGTACTGATAAGTACTGTGTTGAGTACTCAAGAAGAATTCTTTACAGACCCCTGGAATTTTCTCTCTGTGCAGCTCTCCCATCTTTAGTACTTTGTCCATGAACCGTAGCTGTCTTGATATCCCAGGCCTGTTACCTCTGCCTCCAGAATTCAGAGTTATCAGCTGTGCTCTGCTTGGGATCCCCTGCTTGTGCCACATACTGGAAACTCTCTGAAGGCTACATGCTGGTAAAACGGTATGCCTCATTTGTTTTTCCATTTCTTGGGGATCACTGTCTTTCATTACCTGATGTACAGTCTCTTGTATATTATTCTGAATATTTTGTCAACTTTTTAGTTGCTGCAGGAAGGAGGAAAGAGAATTAGACTGGTCCCTGTCACTCTATCTTGCTTGGAAGTATGTCTCTTCCTTTAGTTTTTAAAATTAGTTATAGGGTTCTGGGAACTATAAAAGTCTGATTCTATTACTAAACTTATGTTCTTCCGCCTTCCTTAATGGCTTTACAGTTGAAAATTTATAGCCCTATCTATAAACAATTTAACATTTTAAGAATAAAATTTAAGCTTGAGGTTTAGACTAAATGGTCGTCATGTCTTAGCAGTCACTGAAGGATATCTCTAGTGTGTATCGTGAGGAAGGAAGGGGAGAGGATCCATGTGTAAACCCATCTGCACTTTAGACTACAGCTCTGGGACTTCCTCTGTGCTCCCAATACAGGGGGCCCAGGGAACTAGATCCCGTGCGCTGCAACGAAGACCTGGCACAGCCAAATAAATAAGTAAATATGTAAAAAAAAATAAAATAAGACTATAGCTTCTGATGGCACAGGAATTCTCTGCAAAGTGTTTGTCTACCTTTAGAAAGTAGAGATAATAGTAAAGGTTTTTAGCATTTTCTTATTTGTCAATGTGAGTCATAAAGATTGCCAAGCTCATTAAAATTAAAGAATAAATTTATTTAAAAGTTGACGCTTCAGGCAGAATTTTTCAATTATAACAGTAAACATTTCTTCAGCACTTACTATATAACAGGCCCTTTGCTAGGTGCTTTAAGTACTTTTTCTCAAGTAAACATGACAATCTTATAGTTATGGTCCATTACAAACCTCACTGAACAGATGAGAAAACTGAGGCTAAGACAGACAAAGTGAGGTTGAAAGTAAGATTACTTTCTCTTATTAAAGTACTTATTGAGTAATTAATAAGCCAGGTACTCTTCTAGATCCTGGGAGCATAACAGTGGGGATAAAAAAATCTCTGATCCTTAGAGTCAGTAAAAAAATTTTTGTGCCTGGTGCCATATCAAAAGTTAAAACTGCAAAGTTATGAATTTATGTCACTGAGGGAAATAAATATAATTTTAAAAGCAGAGGAAACATTCTTTGTAAAGTTAAAGTAGTTTTATCTACCAAGTACAAATTTGGAAGTCTCCAAGACCCTGCTCTTTACTATTCCATAATAGCTCTACATCACAGTACATTTCAGAAAGAGATGCATTAAGAAAATCAAAATAAAAAATAAAAAGTCAAAACATTAAAACTATCTGGAAGCTCTGCAACCTACTACAATTTCTTGACTCCAACGACAGATGCTAAACAAGAAACAAAATGACAAATATGGTATTGGTCAAATTGATATTAAAGAAATGCTCAAATTTTCATAGACTATACATTTATTTTTGAATAGAAAGAGCTTCTTATCAACTTGTACACAGGAAATATATTTGCTATTTTAGGAATGTAAAGATAGTGCTTTCCTTTGTGTGTGTATATATATATATATATATATATGTAAAATATTTAAGTCTCTGAACAAAACAAACAGAACTATGCATACCTCTACAGCAGGTACAATGTCTATGCCAACAGTTAGAAATTCTTCAAACTTCAGAAATGGGTTAAAGCAGCTGCCAACGTCAAGTAATCTGATCTTTCCTGAGGTTTGTAGCAACCTAAAAATAGATTATTTTCAGTATGCCTTTTATAATATGAGAAGTTATAAGATAAATAAAATATATGAAAAATTCAAACATTTGAGAATAAAAAAGATATATAGACTATTGGCTTTTTGGTCTCAAGATCCCTTTACATGTTTAAAAATTACTGAGGGCCTTGAAGAACTCTTTCATTTATGCAGGTTATATCTACCAATAATACCATGTTTGAAACTAAAACTCAATGGTTTGAAAACATTAATTCATAATGAAAATCTAAATTAGAAAGGGAGTAAAAGTGAGTTATTGTTTTATATTTTTTCAAGTCTCTTTAATGTTTGGCTTAATAGAAGATGAATGGCTTCGCTTTATCTGCTTTTCACTCAAGTTGTTGTAATAATAGGACATGCCATGAAATTTCTAGAAAACTCAACCATAGATTCAAGAGAGACTGAAAGTAGAAGAGGCAAATGACATTTTAGTATTATTATGAAAATAATTTCCTCCCCAAAGAGACCCTGGAAGGCTCTCAGATTCCTAGATCACATTTTGAAAACTATAGATGAAAGAATTCATTCACAAATTAATTCTCAGTCGCCAATATAATGATGTCAATGACTTAAGGACCAAGAGAAAAGTTGTTATAGAATAGTATTTTTTAAGTAATGAAAAAATTTTGTGTGGGAGCATGTCTCATTTACAAAAGTAGTAGGAAAAAAGAAGGTAACCAAACTATACATGATCATTAGTCAAATGCAGCTAATATGGGTCTGAAGAAGTGAAGTGAAGTTAAAGTTGCTCAGCCATATGTTTTTAACCAAGAGCCTGATGTCCTAACATTTTATAGAAATGACCATAATCACCATCTGATCATAAATAAACTGTATACAGGATCAGTCCGGTATAGGACACGGCAGGTTATAGTACTGTAAAAACAATATGAACAAATTAAAATATTTTTGTCAAAATTTTATTTAAAAACTCATCTAAAGAGGGGGTTATGAGGGTATGAAGAAATAAAAGAATTAGCACTCTGAGCAAAAAAGAGTTGCTCCTCGGGCTCAACAGATAATTTTCTTGTGTCGATTATTGTGTAGTCCGAGTGACATGTGTAACAATCATCTGTAAAGCTGAATTAAATTTAGTGATACTTGAAATATCACAATACACTAGCTCCAAGGAAGAAGGCAACAAGTAAACTTCTGTGGTATAGGCTGCAAGCTGTCAAATGGAGCAAAAGACTGAGTGGATAGAAATGCCTGGCATATAGTTGACATTTACTGCTGAATTAACAAATATGAATACTCAAATCATAACCAGTTAGACTAAATGAGAACCTGTAACAATATGTAATGCTAAATACATCACTAGATTGCCATTCCAATCCTTACATGGGGCTATGGTTAAGAACAGGAGTTCTGGAATCAGAGAGACTTAAAATAAAAACTTGATTCACACAGTCCTTTACCTGTGTGATACGGAGACAACAATGACAGTCACACTTAAGAGTTGTTTCCAGGATTAAATGAGATAATGCATTTATAATGTCTGACCTCATATGTGGTACATGGTAAATGCTCCAAAAAGTGGTAGATATTGTTAGCTATTAATATCCTGTTATATTATAAAATCCTATGTGGTTTGTCCACTAATGACCTTCCTAAACATAGTAAAAGCAGAATTTGCCTCACACTATTCTATTCTGATAGATCCTAGTAAACTGGGTAGAAAAAAGTTTCTAATAGTCTTTTAAAAGGTGCTTCTTATAAACTTTCTACCTGAATAGAGTATTCTGAATCATTTAAGTTGATTCAACATTAAATGTGAAAGTGAAAGTCACTCAGTCATGTCCAATTCTTTGCGACCCCATGGACTATACAATCCATAGAATTCTCCAGGCCAGAATACTGGAGTGGGTAGACCTTCCCTTCTCCTGGGGATCTTCCCAACCTAGGAATTGGCAACCCAATCCAGAATTCTTGCCTTGTCCAAAATTCCATGGACAGAGCAGCCTGGTGGGCTGCAGTCCATGAAGCTGCAAAGAGACACTTTTTAATATAATATAATATAATGGAATAACTTAATAACATTGTTGTTCAGTTGTTAAATCATGTCTGACTCTTTGCAACCCCATGGACTGCAACATGCCAGGCTTCCCTGTCCTTCACTATCTCCTGGAGTTTGCTCAAATTCACGTCCATTGAGTTGGTGATGCTATATAACCGTCTCATCCTTTGCTGCCCTTTTCTCCTTTTGCTTTCAATCTTTCCCAGCATCAGGGTCTTTTCCAGTGAGTTGTCTCTTCGCATCAGGTGGCCCAAGTATTGGAGCTT